ACACACACACACACACACACACACACACACACACACACACACACACACACACACACACACACACACACACTCTGGGACACAATGTTTTATCCTTCAGCTGTAAAGCTGACCAATCTATATTCACCTCCATGTTCTTGCTTTCGTTCTTTTCTGGCACCCTACATCTGTGGTTCTAGGCTTGCCTCCCTTTTAAAGAAAACCTTGGCGCCAAAATAAACCAGCTTGGCCCCTCATCGCCTCACCTTTACAGCGAGGTGTTGTTTGCCCCCAAGGCCTCCGTGCTCTCCCTCCTTTGCCCCCATCAAATCGAGCTGCCAGTATAAAACCACTGTGACAGAGAGAGCCATAAATTGCACGGTCTCTCGTTCCTTCCCTCCCTCTCTTGCTCTCCGTCCCTCTCACCTTCTTTCCTCTCTTTACATTCATCACTTACCTCTGGGGTTTTCTCTCTTTTTCCTAGCTCCCTACTTCCTTCTCTTCTTCTTTTCACTGCTTGCTTAACGTGAAGGGCAGAGGGCAGAGCTTTGGAAGAATATGAAAGAAAAACAGTGGAAAAAAGAATGAAGCACTGCAATGGAGAAAAACAGAAACTGTTGTAAAAGAAAATGTGAAAATCTTGTTTTATTGTGACACATGCATGCATTAATTATTATGTCTTAGGTCAATATCAGTGCTTAGGGGAACATTGAATTCATGGCTTTGAATCAAGGTCATACTGAAAAGAACAGTTTCGTTTTCTCCTCAAAGTAATAGCTCTACTCTAAGTTCCCGTTCTCACAGATAAACATGCACAAATATGAAGTCGGAAGGATTTGAACATAGGTAATCCATCTTAGGCTGTCCCCTGCAGCCCTCCTATAGAGCCTAAGGCGATGCTTCATATAAGCCACCCTACCCACAATTCCCTCTAGGCCTCGCCCAAAGTCATTCAAAGCCATAAAGATCCTCAGCAGGGTGCACAGAGGCCTGCAGAGGCTCTAAAGATGGCATTTCTCAGGGTTTCAATACAACTTTAAAGAAAAATGGAAATGCATCTGAAAATGTTTGAGGTGGTTTTTTTGAAAAGCACAAACTCCCTACTGTCCTGCGGATGATATGTGCTGCAGGTTGTTATCAGTGAAAAATGATGTCAAACAATATGCAATGAGTATGAAATATCTAAGACTGGAGACTGATTGTGAAAGATCAAAGGCATGCCTTGTTGTAGTTTCTAAATCTCTCGCAGATTGGACTACATGGAGATCCCAAACTTAAACTGTAAATAATATACCTGGAGTATGAAGTTTGTTTTAGTTTCTGTGCCACATGCAGCCCAGTTGGATCTCGAGTGATGTTACAGCATTAATTAAAAAAAAAAAAGTTCACTTTCTTTTAGTGTAAAGAAGTACATTCTGGAAACGTTCACACTTAATGAACCATCCATTTACAAAATGGATGATGAACAGCCTCGGATATCTTAAGAAAAAAATAAGAGAAATTTCCACAATATGTCTCAGTTTTTACACAGTCATACTCATTGGAATGAAATACTACTGTCATAAATCTAAGAAATGTGTCTGCACGGCTCCGCGGCTTAACCATCTACTCTACAATGTGGTGTGGCACACAGGTAGTGTGTGTGACAGGGACAAGGCTGTGACACTTAATGATTCAGACACAGGACTCTCATTCATTTGCAGGACGTATTTGGGATATATTCTAATTATTCTTATGACCTACAACACAATGCTTCCTAATGTACAACATATTGAAAAGTTCCACAGTTAATTAAATAACTAAGACCACCCTCATGCTTTTTTTTTTATTTTTTATTTTTTTTAAGGATTATAGCCACAAAACCAAATGCTTCAACTATCTCATGGTCTGATAGATGCTTCAGAGAACCCCTTTAATATTAAAACCACTCAAAATGCCTTATGAAAGATAATATTTTAGCACTGGCATGTGAATGACTGCTGTATAACTCATGTTTTAAAGTACACACAATATTTTTGTCCAATTTTGGTTTGTTATATAGTTTTTTCTTTTGTTTTTGTTTTTTAAATTCTGAAGTGGCTGCATCCAACAATTACTGCCATATTTGTTAACTATGTGTTCAATTTTCAGTATAACAGGGCAAAATCGTCCCATAGGAGAAGAAACACAGTTGTTTTTTTTTTTGGACACTTGAATTTGTCATTGGTCCCACATGGATGAATTACATTAATCTGTTATTCTTGAAGCTTACTTTGCTGTTTTTTTTAAATTACTATTCAACACGTACCACATACAATTTTAATACTGACTAGATACATGGAAATTTTGACACATCCACGCCCTAATTTTAATAATATTTAATTATGCAGAATAAGTCAGCAGTATCCACCAGTCTATCACTGAATTAGGGCTGTGCTACATGCGTATGAATTATACAGCATTATATTATTTTTCTTGACATCTTGACATCTGCTGCTTTATCATTCACTGTTCATAATTTCCTATCACTTGGTCATCAGTCTTTACTTGTTCCAGATTGAATATAGTAATTAGCAAAACAAGTCTGAAACCCATCCCCGCTGTCTTCCGTGTTCCCTCCAGTGCGACTGCGATCAGACCGTCTGTCTCTCGTGGAGGAGTGCATCGCCCACTGCTCCACAGCTTACAAGCAGTCCACCACTCTGCTCAATCTGGCCTCACTCCTCAGAGTTTCAGGTACTTGCAGACACGCATGCACACTCACACGTGATCAGGCACTCTAACTCTAAATTTTATCAAGCTAAAATGTGTTTGACTATAATTTTCAATAAACCAGATCGAGGCAGTTTTCCAGCATAAGAAAAATCCATCTTCATAAGAGGTTTATTTATGTGTGCTTATGGCTTGCAAGCACGCAAACACACAGTACTGTGCAAACGTTCTCAGCCAGGTCTACTATCTTTATATTTTGCTAACATGAAACA